AGTTACGTTAATATACATGCCCATTAGACTGATGCAAATTTTGACTTTTTCGCTCCACAGTGCTTAAATGGTTTCAAATCGGGTCCTGCTTAGCCTCCCAAAGTTACAACTTATTTGGTTAGAAACAGACTTCGCACAAGCCATTTGAAGTTTACATGTAAATTACTATGGGAAATCTAAACTTTTTGTTTATTGCCTTCTAGTCTTGGTCCATATTAAGGTGCGAAATAGTTTGATAGCTATTCTTATAGAAAATTTTCTCAGCTACAACTTTGCTGAAGATTGTTTCTATGTAAAACGAGACAGGAAAAAGTTATGAATTATTTAAGAGATTGGTAAACTTATGACATGATCAAGCAGCTGCTCTGTAGGCAACACTGTATTTTGCAGTGTGACATAGTAGCCATGATTTTTGTGTCCTATTCAACGCCCCAGAAACACCAATGTTGCCTGCTGAGCAGTTGATTGAGCATGATCATAAGACATCAGCGCATTGAACCATTGATAACTTTCGATCCTTGCATTTAATAAAAAAGTGATCTTGAGCAAAGTTGTAGCTGGGAAAATTTCCTATAAGTACAGTTGAAAGTTTTTGAAGCAGACTGATATGGTGAATTATTAGATAGACATGAACAAAAATCTTGGTTTTACCATAGTAATTCCCATACAAACTTCAAATGGTTTGTGCCATCTCAGTTTCTCACCAAATGGGTTCAAATTTTGAGAGGCTAGTCAGGATCCGATTTGGAATCGTTTAAGTATTGTGGAGTGAAAATTTCAAATTTTGCATCACTCTAATGTCCATACCAAATTCATTGGTATTTCTCAATTGTGGAACACCTTGGGGTTAAGGCTGCCGAAAAACTACACATCTGCGTTAACTGCGTTATCGTACTTATCTGTCTGCCATCCTGATGACCTCGGTTTTTCGAAAAATTTTGCCATATACAGCAACAGTGTTGGCAAAATTAGAAATCAATTGATATTTTTCCGCTATCATGCGCTCGCAATATCACGCGTGATATTGGAACAAAATATCATATTGATTTTACAAGCTCCTTTGATATTGCGAGACTATTCACAACGTGCAAAAATTAAGCTGAGAGTTGACTCGAAATGATTCCATTGCACATCGTTTTCTTAGAAAGAGAAAGCATAGTTTGCTATCTCTTTTTAATCTTCACCGATGGCAGACGCGAAGGGACTGCTGCAAGCCATTATGGATGTTTTTGTTGCATTCGGGTGTAAAGCAAAAATCATTAAACTCAATCTCACCACAGTTTGGTGAGATCTGCAGTTGGTGAGTTTTGTTAGCTTGATATTCCGAGCTGCAATATCACAGCTTGCAAAATCAACCGCAGTTGTTTGCTTGTTGATTTTTGTCTACGAAAATCAAGCGTGATCTTGGGCGTTGGTAAGATTTGATTTTTTTATATTTTCCCAACACAACACAACAAGGATGTTGCCCTAAATAGGTGGTCAGGATGTTGAAGTATAGAGAATTTCCAGGCAATTAAAAAAAAATAATAACTCGACTTTCTCCGACTTCCATGAAACTATGCATGTTTAATTGTTTGGTTAACCATTCACATTTGAGTTAAAAATCGGCCACGAGCCTGCACGACTTCGATGGATATTCTAGATGCAGCCAATGGAAGTTCCACACAACTTTTTCACTTACCCGACGAAGGAGCTTCCGCAAGATTTTTGTGGCGATGGCAACCGAAATTCTTGGGAACTTCGACGGATTTTTCCCATAATCCGAAGAGCTTCCGCTCGGTTTCGGTGGGGACTTCCGATACTGCCAACGGATGTTCCAGGAAACTTCGACGATGTCTTCTCGGCGGATGAGGCCCCGCTCAATTCTAGAGGAAATTTTCGATGATGTCAACTGAAACTAAAGCGGAAGTCCCATGAAACCAAGACGGATCCTTCCCACTCTCTTGGTGGATGATCGTCCGCAGGATTTCTCTGAAGATTTCCGATACTACCAACTGAAGTTCCAGGGAACTTCGACAGAGTTCTCTCGCGTTCTCGGAGAAGGAGCTCTCGCTCGATTTCGGTGTAGATTTTCGATGCTGCTAGAAAAATTTTCTAATTCCGGTGGAAATTTCCAAGCTGACAACGGAAGTTCCAGGCGTTCTCGTTTGCGGAGCCTCATCGCAACCGGTGACGGTTTTCGATATTGCCAACGGAACCTCCAGGGAACTTCTACGGAGCCCTTTCGCGTTCTCGTAGTAGTCTTCACTCGATTTTGGTGGAGGTTTACGAAGCTGCGCAACCTCAACGAACGGACAATGCGAGAAAATACCGTTTAAACTCCCTGAAAACCCTCGCTGGAAGTATCATGTGGAAGCTACTCGACCAAGAAAGCGGAAAAAAAACCCGTCGAAATTTTCTGGAACCGTTGGAAGCATCGAAAATCTCGACCGAAATCGTGTGAAAGCTTCCTCGCCATAAACGCGAGAAAACTCCGTCCAAATTCTCAAAGTACCTACGTTGGCAGCACTAGAAATCTTCACCGGAACGGTGCAGAACCTCCTCCTTCAAAAACGCGGAAAAATTCCATCTAAATTCCCTGGACCACTGGCAGCATCGGACACGAGAAACTTTGACGAAAAAAACTGGAACTTCTGTTGGCAGCATAGGAAATCTTCACGGTTCGTGCAGAGCCTCCGCTACCGAAAACTTTCATCGAAATCGTGCAGAAGCTCACACCGGTAGTTAAACTTCCAATATTGAAAACCTCCACCTAAATCACGCAAAATCAACTCCGCCAATAACGCGAGAGAACTCCGTCCGTTGGCTTCATCGGAAATATGCAATGGAATATTGCGGATGCTTCTCCACCGAAATCACGAGAAAATGTAGTAGAAATTTCCTGGAACTTCAATTGGCAGCACCGAAATGGTGTGGAAGCTTCTTCACCGTGAACGCGAGAAAACTTCGTCAAAACACCCTGGAACATCGGCTGGCAGAATCGGACCATCCACCGTAATCGTGCAGGACCGCCATCTCTGAGAACATGAGAAAACTCCGTTGAAATTCCCTAAAACCTACGCTGACAGCATCAGAAATCACCACCGAAACCGTTGCGAAATTTCCTAGAACATTCGTTGGCAGTATCCAGAATCATTTCCGAAATAATGCAGAACCTCAGAAAAACCAGTTGAAATTTCCTGGACTCCCGTTGACAGCATCGAAAAGCACTGAAATTGTGTGGCACCTTCTCCGCCGATAATGCGAGAAAACTCTGTAAAAACCGAGGAGGACGACTCTATCTATGATGCAGGTATAGACATTTATATGGCAGGTTTTTTGTGCCATTAGGTGAGAAAACCACTCTCTGAAAATTTCAACTCTTTCGTGCATAGAACTGGTTCAGCTAACTCAATTATGCTCAAAATTTCAGCACACGTAGCTTAAAACTTTAAGAACCAATTTTCTTAATACCTACAGCATCACGATTCAAATAAGTATTATGGAGATATTAATAAATTTTGTGCATTCTGCTCATATAAAGGCTGACTAAAAGTAAATTAGTTCGCCCCTCGCGCACCGCTAGCATGCCTCTAGCGTTGGAAATCGAGAATCTTTGACAGTGGTTTGTTTACACTTCTATAGAGAACAACTGGTTGATCAAAGTAGTCGATCGCGTTCAGAAATAACGTCAAATAGAACTCGACAGAAGAAAAACTATTGTGCACAAACACTTAGAAAATCCAGAGTGGTCCGATTCCAAGCTGGCTAAAGTGCTGAAGATGCCAAAAACAACGGTTTGTCGAGTGCTCAAAACCCTGAGTTTGGAAAGGAATCAGAGTGTCTGTGATGAAATGTTTCGTAAAAAATACTGATATTTTCCATAAAAATATTAAATGTGCCATTGAGAAATATGAATTGTGTTGTTGTGTTTTTGTGTTCGTACAGCTATTTTTTTGAATGTATGGACAGCTGTACGCTCAATTTTGAGATACACTGTATATGGTGCCACCACATTTTTTATTGATCATTTTTATGGGGTGGATTATTGATGTCCACAAATGGCCAATCATGATGGTTGATAAGTTCTATCACTTTACTGCGAAAAAATCTCGGAAACTGTTGTGACATCGTCCATGAAATTGAAACTCCTTGTTTGCTGCAATGCAGCAAACTTGAAGTTCCAGTTGCATTGTTGTATGTATTATTGTGCTCTTGAAATTTCGAAGTTCATTTAGAAATAATGTTTCCACATCGCTTCACCTTAATTCGTCTGCTTCGTTCACATTAGTTCTAGTTTAAATGATGCATTTGTGGTACGAATCGATGTGTTTAATATAAACTCACAAGCGTCTCTTGTCATTCAGAGTTTCCATTCATCGTTTTAGAGTTTTCTCATTCTTAAGATTCCTTCAGCGAGAAAGAAAAACGGGTGAAACGAGAACAGCATTCTGCTGTACACTTTTTTGTGACCACCATTCGATATAAAACTTTTTCGGATGAAAATGACCAGCTGTAATTAAAAAAGTTTATCTCGGTCGACATACTTCCTCCTCTGAAAGCACTTTGAAAATTACGAGGAAAGTTGCACAAACGCTAGAAAAACGCAGCGTTCGTATACAATCTTGCACTTCCTCTTCGTGGTAATTACCATCATTGCAATGTAGCACCTATTTATTAATATTTCGTTCCATTTTCATTTGCGTGTTCAGATCCCGAAGAAGCGATACATTCAGACAAGAAATTTCAACCATTTAACGTAAATATGCCGAGATCCAGATGCTATCCTTAGCAAAACATAAACAGCAAATTTTAAATATGCAATCAGTGATTTTATTCACAACTAATTTTTTTTTTTTGGTTTTGGTGGAGGCTTACAGCCACTGGCTGGTTCACCTCGTTTACAGTTGAATTCTCCTCTATATTTTTACAGGTTTTCCAAGCATTTGATTAATAAACCTAACATCTAACTTAAACTAAAGTTTCCATTTTCGTTATTCATTCTGGCTTCGTCAGTTTTATCAGTTGGCATAAACGCACCGCTTGGGTAGGTAAAACTTGATCGTCTTGGACACCGACTTGGTGTGCATATCCGGATTGCCTCCTTTTTGGATTTGCCTTTGGAACTGCTGTGCTACCTGATCGGAACCATCACGGCAGTGAACGTCCACGTGCTTCTCAATTTTATCAGCAGCCTTACAATGGGCTGGACATGCCGGCAGAGGACGTTTGGTGAAGCAAATCTGGTCACCTTGCATGATGTACTGGGCCTGGTGTTTGACTTCACACTCCTTGATTGTGTTCTTCTGGTAGGCTGGGTTGTACTCGGCACTTTCCGAGGAGGAGGAAGAGGAAGAAGATGATGAACCATGTGTCTTTGAGTCGGATTCGTTGCTCGAATCAGAGGAAGACGACGACGAAGACGAAGAGTCCGATGAACTAGAAGACGACGATTGGACGTTGTGGTTGTAGTTGCGGTAGCGCTTGCGACCGGTATCGGCATCGCTAATTACGTTTCCGTACAGGTGCTGAACGCGAATACAGTTCTCCTGTTGTTTCTGTTGCGAAGCAATAGCGAAAGCCTTGGCAGGTCCAGAGCAGTTCTGTCCAGATACAGCCCAGGAAGACGCGAATAGTTCCGGCTTACGCATAACGCATTGTTGGGGAGTGGTGAAGTCGTTGTCGCCGTCCTTGTTGTTGGTTCCGCACATGCCAACAGTGTTGCCATGAAGAGTCTGGTGCGTGGAGATTTTGGCTCGGTAGCCATCACTGACAATGATAACCTGACCATCACGGATATCAACTTCGACTTCATTACCGGGAAGAGCGTGAACACGAACCAAAGGTTGATCGTCTTCGTCATCCGAGTAGATTGGAATGGTGTGCTTTTCATGAACCTGGAGTGGCTCATCGTTCAGGTATACCTGTGGTAATCCAGCTCCGTTGGGTACGATGTCGATGTTATGGTTCCAAGCTTGTGGTTGACCAAGGACTATTCTAAGGTGTTGTTGCTGATTGTCATCGGATCGGGTCAGTACACTGATCTGCTGGTGCTGCTTGAAGCCGTTGTTCTGCGATTCACTTTCGTCATCAGAGTTGAAGTGCGAATGCTGCGAGGTAACCTCTAGCTCGGGTTTAACGGCATGCATGGCCACGTGCCAGCAGCTTCCTGTGCTGTAGTTGTATGATCTTCCATCAAAAGTGCTAACGTGTTGAGGGGCAACGACGCAGGATGCTTTAAGGGAATAATTTGTTAGTTAAAGATGTGCAGGGGCTACACAAAACATTACTTACGTTTCAAATTTCCGCGGTAGGCATAGGTACTCAAACGCTCGTCCCAATCAAGATCCGGGTGCACCAACAGCAGATACTTGGCCCATTGACTTTGGATCGGTTGGTTCTGGATTTGAACCTTTCTATTCGGCATAGCAAGGGTCACGTTCACTCGATCAGCGTGTGGTGAGAATTCGATCTGGATCTGGGAACGTCCTTGTTTTCCGTGATGACTAACGGAGTTCTCATTCCATCGTGGTGCAAAAACTGCCTGAGCAATGTTCATGAGTTTACGGGTAGCATTCTGTGTGGCTGCTGGAACATCCTTGAATTCGATGCTGAGCTCATACTGATCTAGGTAGCTCGCTTGACGGGTAGCATTCTGACATTCTGGAAGCTGGTAGTTGCCTTGATCCATCTGTTCCTTACACTGTTTTCCGGTTTCGGAAGTCCTGACAGAGTGACGCCATTGATCGCTTTGACGGAGTTTACCGCTGACTGATATCTGAGCTCCTCCCTGGCATCGTTCACCGAATGCAAGTTCCAAATCAACGTTCGAGCTGACCCCTTGGTTCAGAGCGTTCAGGAAATTCAATTTCGGTACCTTTGGGTGCTGTTGAGTAAGACTCATGCAAACTTGAGCCTGTTTGTTTTGACCACTTGGTTCGTAAGGGCTGGCCGAGGCGAACACTAGACTACGAGACTTTCCATCAACGGTAGACTTGGCTTTCGATACGGTCAACACAAACTCGGCCTTCTGCTGGCGTCCTTCGAATTCGACTCCCACATCGATGGTGTTGATTTGGCTGTTACGGATTCCTGCGCCGGCATTCATCGTGAACTGCTCCTGGCGACGCTCACTTGCTGGGTTGAACGTTGAAGGTTGAGCGTAGTTCTTCTCGTTGAAGTATCCGTCAATTCCATGGCGACCCTTGGGATGTTTCATATCCGAATTGGCAAAGTCCTGAGTATCGTTGGCACTCTTTGCTTGAACGGTGATCTTCACATTTTTGGCTGAAGATCGTTGAGCATCGTACCAAAGGTTGATCTGGTGGTACTGGCTGGGTTGAGATGCAAATGGATAGGTCAGTGCAGATACTAGGTCATGTTGCTTGACACGGTCCCATACGTAGCCAAAATCGAATGCTGGATTATCATGTTTAGCATGGAAACGCCAGGCAATTCCAGTCATTTTGTGTCCGATTGTTTTCTCCATGGATCTAGTGTTGCTTTCCGGATTATGCAGAATCTGAGCGTTGGGACTAGCAGCTACGGAACGTGTGTCAACAATGTCTTTAAAGGTCGTGTACGGCCAGGAGCTAAGATGAGCAATCAGGACATCCTTCTTCGGTTGCAGTGGTTGAATGTTGACTTCGTAGTTATCTTGAGCCAAGTTCAACTTAGCTTCAATGCTTAGGGGAACATTTGCATGGTGCTTCTTCTGATATCCGGCAATATACTGTTGGTGATCGAACAGAGTCGTAAAACTGATCTTGGCATCTACCAGCCGTGAGTAAACGATATTGACGTCAGCGGAGATTTTAGCATTTTGAGGCACGTGAACTTTGTCATCAAATTCGTTTTCTGGATGTCCAGCCGGTTTACCAGCAGGGTTTGGATGGGCTTGAGCACTAGCTTCTATTTCGATCTTAACCAAAGTAGGAGCATCCAAGCTATAGGTAAACGGGAATCCAGTTTCCAAAGGCATAGCCATCACAACTGGGTTTTGCTGATAGATCTTGGTAAAGTTTACATTCCATCCGTTTTCCAAGTCCTTTACCCATTTCTTGATCTGACTAGGGATTTTCTCCAGCGTGCGGTTATCGAACGCTACGAGCCGTTGGTTATTGAATAGTTCAAACAGAACCTGGCCTTCGATTTGTTCAACGTCTTCCGCATCAATATTCAACAACTTAGCGATCTTTGCAGTTGACCACATTTGTACACTCTTGGGGCCGAACTTTCTTGATTGATTCGGATTCCAAGCCAGTCCTCGGGCCTGATGATTCTTCTTTTTCTGTTGTTCTTCAACGGTGACAATCTTTTCGTCCAATAGATCAAACAAGGCATCCATATTGGACACAATGTAGTGGTAGGAAGACAATCTCTCCAAGCCCCCGAGCTTCTTGTGCAAATGTAATGCAGCACCAGCTGGAACTGGATGGTTATCGGAAGCAATCTGGGCTGCATGCAGACGATAGGACAGATCCAATCCCTGCATGGCATAAGATCGCAGCTGACCAGTTGAATACTGTAGTCCAAAGTCTTCAGGTGAGAGCATCTTGGCAGCCGCTTGCGCATTCTGAGCATGTTTCGAAGAAGCTTCGTCATACTGGTCACTTTGGGCAGCGGATTCAATTAGGCTTTTTACCAGTGCACTGACTTGGCGGTTATCTTGCTCAGTTTGTTGAGCCATACGCTGGAGCATTGCAACCGGAGGGTTGGTACGCATCAGTAGTAGAGCAGCAGCGGAGCGCACTTCGTCGGTGTCGCCGGTGTTTTGGAAGATTTTGAACAGTACAGATCGAGCCAGTTTCGGGAAGTTTTCGGTCAGTCGATCAAGTGACATAACCATTGCGAAGCGTTGGTAGTCGGTAACTGGGATCTGTCCTTCCAGGTATGGTTCAAAAGTGTTCAGAATCTCAGGATGACCAATGTTACCAATAGCGCGAACGAGGTACTGTATTTTCTCACTACCACCCTCCTTGACGGCTTGACGGAGTTCGTGGGCCATGTAGGGTACAACTTTGTGAGCAACAATCTTGTAGTGGGAGTTAGCCAAACGGCCAAAGCTGTTGACCGGGTAGTAGTTGGCAGCGGAGATGTTGTTCACCTGAGCGCGACAGAGGAAGTCGCCCAAAGAGATCAGTGCCGTGGCATTAACGATTGATTGATGCTTGACAACTGCGGACGTAGCTAGTAGGAAGAATTCATGCATCTGAGTTTCCGTTGGGTAACGAAGACTCTTGGCAAGGGTGGCAATGACTGAAGCAGCTTCCTGGCCATGCAGTTTTTTCTCCTGGATGTACTGTTTCAAGACCTGGAAGGCGGGTGGAGTTCCGGCTTCGGCCAAGGCATCACGGAATACGTTCCAGCTGTCGACTTGAATGGCGAACTTCTCACTTTGGTTGTCTCCGTGTTCGCGTTCCTGGTGCGATACAAAAAGTTTTTGAGCGGCGTCGTAGAGTTCTTGGTGATCCATGGTTCGCATGATGTTATTCAGGGTGATGAAGTCATCCAGGGTGTTGGATTTTGGAATGGAAGATGGGTTTTGGAGGTCTTGGGCAATTTTACGGGTCAGCTGCGGCAGGAGTCGGGGTGCATTGATGTTCCGAGATTGTTGGATGTTGCCACCTTTGTAGCCTACGAAGAAGGGGAGCAGTGGAGCTGCCGGTGGTTGTTTCTGGTTTTCCGGGGTTGGCTGGTAAAAGTCTTCATCACTATCCAAGGAGTTGGATTCGGAGCTTGAAGAAGACGATGATGATGACGAGGAGGAAGAAGATGAACTGGAGGAGGAAGATGAAGAGGAGTTGTGTCGGCGGTGTTCAGCTGATTCCGAAGAGGACGATGATGACGACGAGGACGATTTTGAATCGTCAGAGCTGCTGGAATCGGATGAGGTGTCGTTGTTGCGGCTTAGGCGGTACTGATCCAATTTGTAGGCTTCGTAGTATTGCTTCTCCTTCTGGGCGTTCAGATCACGACGGATGCGGTTACCTCGTTGCTCCACTTCCTCTAGAGCATCCTTGTACTGCTCGGATGGAGCAACTTTGGGGTTTTCCTGTTCTTCTGAACTGGAGGAACTGGATGAATTGGAGTCGGATGAATCAGAAGAGGAGGAGGAGGAGGAGGAAGATGACGAGCTGGATGTTTCATTTTCAGGGCGGGCAAGGTTGTTTTTATCCTCAGGAAGATTATATCCATAGACTAATCCAACGAATACAGCACGATCTTCGGCTGGACCAGTGGGTTCTTTTTCGTTCGGTTTGATTTGCTCCAAGGTAATGTTGACCTGAGCGTACACCATGGCCTTCTGTTGGTCTACCAAAGAAGGACTGACAAGGGTCTTACTGGTAGTTTGAGCCGATTGAATGGTGTGGTTCCATGGATTACCAACGGCGAAGATCTGACTGACGGCAGATCTGCTCATGACATTTCCCATCTGGTTGGTGTGAGGCTTGATGTTTGAGGCACCGGTGATTCCAAAATGGTATCCCATGCGTCTTTCGCAGTTGCTGTAGTTCTTAGCCTTGCCGATTTCCATAATCCAATCACCTGCCTGGATGTGCTGAGGCTGAGGAACCCATTCTTTGTGAGCTTGGATTTTGTACTTGGGAACGGCATTGATATCGTACAAGGTCTCACATTCGCCGGACACGGAAGGCTCCATGGTTTTGTACGTAGCAGTAATGCTATCGTTCTGGGGAAGTTGGTTGTACTTTGACTTGACTAGGTTAGCTCCAGCAAAGTCCAGCTGCAGTTGGCTGACCCAAGATTTCAGGATATTTACTTCATGGTTGGGAACAGTTTTCTCTACAACCAGTCCCTTGATGGCACCGTTCTTGTACTTGATCGCAAATGGCTTCTCGCTCAATGGCATAGGCTTCCAGGACAGCTGTTGCTGTGCGGGATTGGTACGGTAGCCCATCGGAAGATGTTCGTTGAACTGAGCGTACCTGGGATGTTCGATGCGAGCTACCACGTACCCGTCACTCTTGGGGCTGATGATCATCTTGGCTCGGGTGACCACTCCAGTCCACTGTTCTCGGAGGTCAGGTAGAGCCGTCATGGTTTTCGAGGTCACATTGTACTCATAGAGTTGATTCGGTTGCCAAGCGTAGTTGTCGTCACGATAATCTTTAACTCCGGCCAATCGCTGGCCATATTGGGGTCCATCGCTTTGTTTCTCTGCAAAGCAAGCTCCCACTAGAAATAGAGAATCATTAGAATCGCCAACGAATGATTTTTTGTATTACTGAACATACCCAAAATGATGAGAATGAATCCTAACATCATCAATTGAAACTTTTCAAGATCTTCACTTTATTTTTCTAACACTGTGCTCTAATGAACGGTAGAAGACAACTGTGCCTTACCGAGACCCGACAGACCATATTTAAAGGATCAAAACTGCAAACTATTCAAAAAATAAGGGAAAAAAGATTCATTGACTGATAAGGCCCGATGCCTCACTGTTCCACTGCAATCAGCTGATTGTCTTAACCTACACACTAAAAAAATCTGAATTTTACTGGTGATGTAAACATCCATGCATGCAAACATTCATGTATGTAAACTTCCTTTTCACGTAAACTAGCAGCTTGCAAGAAATGTTGCAAACAAAGGTGGAAAGTTGCATACAATATATGGAATATTGCATGACATGTCTCATAAATTTACACGATTTATAATGTAAATTTGTATGATTTATGACGCTCCATTTATGTGCATCATAGAAACGGAAATTTACACTACTTTTTTTTAGCTGTGTAGTACAATGCAATTCGCGTTGACGACTACTCTGTACCCCTTTGCTGATACAGGAAAATCTCATGAGCAACTGTCAGTCTATGAAGTGAAACGTGGTGAACTGTCCCTTATCGCTTCACCGAAAAATAACTTGACCAACTTTCAACTTAAACATGAACAGACGGTGCCTTGATGGTCTAGCAACTTACCTTTCGGAAGCAGTCCATTCTCGATCACCTTGGCTTCCAGGAGGAGCCGTGGCAGCAGCAGGCATATCGCCGTGATGATATGTATGAAAGCGGAAGTCGGTCCACCGTGTATCCAAAGTGCCCTGTAGGGAGAGAACGCAACAAAGTCATCATTTGAATAGTGATGTTACAGCTAAATGCCAACGAATCGCAAAATGTTGGGATAGGTCATGTCCAGCCCTGTCAAAGACGCCCTTATCAATTATACGTAGAGATAATTAGCAGTCTGTCAGCGGGTATTCACATCGATGGAAGGTTTATGTTGGCGGTGCATTGCCACGCTCAGATAGTGTTGGATGATTTACGCTGTCCTAATCATAATCGTTATCATCTATTACTCAATCACTTATAGCTGCGGTGAGATTAGCGAGGCGTGATAATGATTTACACATTTTCACCTCGGGTGAATTGGTTAGGAGAGGAGGGTACAGATTGGCAGTAGGAAGTTCTTTGACCCCGTTCGATCGTTCAAGCGTTGGACGATATCTCGTGGCGTTAGGATGGGAAGCATTCCTAATTAATTGGTTGTAATTTTACTCGCAAGAGGATTTCGCTAATTAATAGCCATTCGTCAACTTATTTGGGAGAGTTTGAAAGGCATTGGAAAATGGTACTTGAAAATTAACTATGGATAGAATTTTATGCATCATCACTTTTAAGTGCGTGACGGTGGCTCAATGATTTAGTCTCTGGAAAATTTATCTCACCTTAATGTTTAGTTCCTTATTATGTGCTCTTTAGGAATGAAGTTAAAAACATTGCCAATGTATTTGTCCATCAAAGTAATTTCAGTTCTTGTGATCATTTCTAAAGTTGAAATGCGTGTTCAGGAAATTTGAAGATTAACAAACGATTGTGGAAGTACTCTGTGAAAATGGGCACATCAAAGCATGCATTCATTATCCTTGCACATGGCTTATAAAATATACCACAAAGTTGCATCATTTACGCTCGACCTCGATAATAATCCATGATTGCAGTATTTGCTGTTTGAATTATTAAACAGTGGCAAACGGATGTCCTTTATGATTGCAAGGAAGCGAATTATTGCATCATTAAATCGTTAAACTGGCTGTGAACGGCATTGATTCTCAGATTCTGGGAATTATGCTACTTCACTGAACCCTACATAAAAGAATAGCTCCCCAAGCACAGTCTGAGATCAAATTGAGAACTAAATTTGATCTTGTGATGTGGCTGATAATCCCAAGTAACATTTTAAGTTTTATGAAATACTACAAAGCAACTATAAAACAACATTCATAAAACCTTGGTCAAGGCTATTTTGTTATTAATGCATCCACCAAAAGCTCATTAAAACTAGAATATGTCTAGTTGGCCCACCCTGGAGAAGGTTTTGAAGGGTGTTTTCTCGAAGCTCTTCAAGATTGATTTACTGCAAAAGGTTGTATGACGATTGCATTGAGAACCATTTCAAAGCTACAATAAAAGCTATTTAGCAACAATAAAAACCCTTTCCGAGCCATTTCCCCTAGCCGCATGCTGAATCCACTAGGAAAGCATCAATCAAGATATAAAAGGATTTATGAATCTGCAATTGACTTGATTTTTTCATCCTACTTCGTCTATCCTTCGAGATTTCCTTGTCATAAATTTTGCATTTATTAACTATGAGGAACCATCTTTTAAGCTTAGCCGGCGCCGGTGATGTAGTGGTAAGCATGACTGCTTTCTAACACCCCAATGGGTCTGGGTTCAATCCCAGCCGAGGTCGATGGGATTTTTCTGAGGCATACAAATCTCTGGTCACGTCTTCCTTCGGAAGGGAAGTAAAGCTGTTGGTCCCGGCCCATGTGTGTTGAATGGGTGCGATATCCTACGCAGGTGTGGAAGCTGCCTTCCTGCACATTCGATTGCCGTCAATGGATGACAATCGATGTCCGTCGGTGATTGACACTAGATTGCGGAACAGAGACCGACGTTAAATAAAGGAATGAATGAATCTTTGAAACTAATGTTCTGCCCGACAACAACTCAGCAGCACGAGACTCTTTGAACTGTGTCTCAGAGTCGGCGCACTACTGGGCAAACTGGAGGGGCTACGCGGATAAAAAGGCACTCAAGCTTTCAATTAAACTAAAGCACAACGCGGATCAATTTAAACACTGTATTTCTGCAACTACCGATAGTGTGGATTGTGTGGTGTTGTGTTCGATTTTCTTGGCACATACCCTTGATGACGATGGTGACTACGACGACTGCAGACCAGCGAGCGCTCGGTGTGGTTCCGGAAAGATCCTTAAAGGCAAGATGGCGGTACCACCGCTCGGTGTAATTGCGGTACAATTCCGGCAATGGCGGACGAAGCGAGGCTGACCGAACGTCGGCCGTAGTGCGATGGCGGGTTGGTTTTACCGGGCTGGTATAGCGGTTTGTGGAGATGGTTCCGATGCACAGGCGCTTCCTTCTGACGAAGCCGGTCGACGACGGCAAGGCCGCCCTCTGTCGAACCGGGAAGGGAAATTCTCCTTGGCGTTTAGGGCCTTCAGCCCGAGAACAATGTGTTTTACGGTTAGGTCAAGGTAACTCAATGTCACCTAGACCGTAGCGTGCAATGGCGGTCCTTGACTCGCCAACCAGAAAACCATTTGATTGGTTGAAAAGAAAGGTCTTGAATCAGCTGAATTGGTGATTTCCACTTCACCTTGATTCACTACTCGCACTGTATTTTGTTGAAATGTATTCCACAGACACTTCTGGTCTACACGCTCGCCTGCGATAAAGTCAACGATGGCCGTTCTCTAAGCATCGCAGAACCCTTCAGCTCATCACCCGTGACTCCGTGTCACCATTTTGCCGCGGCCATGCGCGCCTTATTCAGCAGTCGGCCGTTAAGCATGGCCGTGTCGTCTGCCCAGTGGGTTTCACCGCAAGTGTTACACAAGTTTATTTGAATGCTCGATCACATGGTGCATATTTAAAATATTGTATTGAACCTTTGTAACAGAACGGTTACACTATCCCTCCGCCCAGGTTAAATAAGTGATCTGGTTTAGGAAGTAAACCAGAGTAATTATTTAATCCCACACAGAGGTACAAATATCCTTTTCAAAGCTGACAGGTAGTTACCAAACAGTTAAAATAAACATATACTAATCGCTACGCGAAGCAGTTAAGATTCAATAAAAACCATTCAAACTCTATAAACACTTTAAAATCATCGGCAAACTAAAAGTTAAAATTTCTTTAAGAAAATTACTATAATTGAGCACGTGTGATCAAATTGTTATGAGTATTTGTTTCAGTTAACACCAGGGGTGAATTCGTTCTACTGCTTCATTTTCGCTAAATTCATCTCGCCTTCATCCTACTCGTGGTAGGAGATGGAGATGACCAATCAGTCTCTTCTCACACGCGATCGCGATTGTAAATGCAGTTGACCGGACATCTACAACAGTGTTTTGTTACAAGGAACAATGGACTAAAAATTAAAATTGTGCTACTATAACAGTGAACAAAAAGAATATGGCAAGTTAATAAATGGTGATACTAGCTCGGATTTTACAAGATAAGTATTACTTTATGTATCTACTATGCGTTAAGCTGGACGAAACTATCTATTTTCAGGTTTGTTCGACCAGGTGGCCTCCTGGTCTTATCAGGCGTGATCTACTATGGAGTTCCTATTCGTATGGTTGAGCTTTCTGTGCACCTTGAAAGCGATCATTATGATTTTTTTACGCCTGTGGAACAACCCTGAGAACGATCCCATTTCATCGATAATTAATTACTCTATATGGTTCAAAATAGTAAGTACATACACACAATTTTAAATTACTATACCCTATTCTTATATTCTATTATTTTACTTAAACCTATTTTTATTCTACTGCTATTATTCCGCTTATCAACCCCTCTGTTATAACCTCATTCGTATACAATTTTACTTACAAAAGGGTTCAATCTCCTATCTATTCACATACATTTACTTTTGCTGCGCAGCTTTTCAATTGATGACGTCATTACTTTTTATTTACAGATTCAGCACACAACTTCATCTTTTCTCGAGCAAGAGAGCTTTCTCTCTGCTCTATGACTCGGACAATGATTGTACCAACCAACCATCACTATCTGACCACTATCCAAAGGACAGTTCATTCGATCGAGGTACTTTGATGACCGGAGACAGAGAAGCTGATCTGTGTTGCAACAAATTCGTGCTTTAATAATGCACTTGTTTACAAGGTACTTCTAGTTCTGAAACTCTAGTACGATGTTCATAATTCTAATACTCGAATTCTCTTTTAGGTATCGTTTACCCTCATTGGCGAGAATCCGAATCATCTGGACGAAGGTCTGCAGCTGAGAATACGCCAAGATGCTTGCCATTCTCGTCTGCCAACTCATAGGAGCTCGTTCCTCGCCTCGCTACGACGACACACGGAATGTAGACTGGCCCATACTTGGCGTTGTACTTCTCGACGGCGGAAGACAATCGGAAATTGCGCTTGCACACCCGCTGTCCTACTTGGTAAGTCGGTGCAAACTTTTTGTGACGAAGGTTGTAATTTTTTAAATTTTTCTGGTGGCTTTTTAATAGATTTTCTTTAACTACCTTAAACATCTTTTCATTAATCTGCTTCCGAAATACCTCCCTCTGACCTACTGAAACCTCCTTTTCGTCCCTTTCAAGACGATGTTGTTCTCCTTTGGTGACTTTCTCGTGCCCGTACAGGATCCTATAGGGCGAAAATCCAGTCGAGGTATGAACAGTCGTATTCAGCATTTCCTCAACCTCAAAGATGTTTGAATCCCAGTTCCGTTGATCTTCTTTCATGTAGGTTCTCAGGCATGCATTTATTGTCCGGTTCAGCCTTTCTACCGGATTCGCCTGACTATGGTGTCTGGCATTCGGCCAATGTTGAACTCCTCGACGTTTCAGCAATGCTTGGAACTCTTTTCCCATAAAAGTTGTGGCGTTATCGGATATTATTACCTCCGGTGTTCCAAACCTTCTCATCTAACTGTCTTCAACAATCCTGCACACTTCCTTCGCTTCAATTTTCCTCAGTGGGGCAAGAAGGGTCCATTTAGAAAACAGGTCCATCATGACCAACAAATG